CAAAAAAAATTTTCTTTGTATACTAAGCCATTCTGGAAACATCTAAAAGACTTTTGACATTTGCCAAAATGTGGTTAGGATTAGAACGTCTGTTGCATATTAACATAACTCTTTGAAATATTGTTTAATAACGAGATCGTCAATGAACCTTTGTCGATTCTAAGTGGTACAAAAAGTAGTTTCGTCTACGAAAGTTCATAATCTGCTTGTTTTGCTCTAAAATGTTTGGTTTCTTACGGATGTGGAATTTGTCTTTGATTGAATCTTAGAATATATCGTAATGTAATGAAGATATGAGAAGGAAGTGTGTAAAGTCAGATGTCAAACTGTTCTGACTAATGAGTCAAAGAATATATCAGTATATTGCATAGAGCTTTGACGTTCTGAAGACTAACATATATATCTAGGTTCGCAAAAGAAGAGGAGTATGTACACGTGAGATGAGGCTTTCGGTAAAGGATCTTTTGGGAGTAGAAACATAATCGCGGATAGCGAGTACTCAAGATTTTCACGAGAACTACTTTTTTGTCTGTTATACTTTCCTTTCAACACTCCAATTGGGTCTGTTTTAATGACTCTTCCAAAGCATGTGAGTTAAGAAACTTTTGTTGTATCTATGAAGAGAGTATATCGGCTATGTGTGTTGTAGTGGAGAGTGTCACTGAAGTACTGTTGGGGAGGTTTATATCTCTCTAGTGGGGATTAGACTCATATGCGGTCAAGAGTGATGTAAATGATAGTATGTGTGTGTAAGGATGTACTTTGGTTGTGCAGTACTTCCGGGAGTGTATAGGAGTAATAATCGTTTCTAAACAGTTTTTGGGGCACAAATTCTGGGGTAAATGGAAGAGATGATTCTTAACCATTCCATTGTTTTGCAATTATATGAGAAGGGTGTTTCTTTTAGGGGCACTTGGGGGATGTTGGTAAGGATATTTGCAACGCAACATAAGATTATATATAAACCTTTTCGTTTCATTTGCATATAATTTCTTTGCATGTGTTAAGACCAAAGCTTCTATAATTAACTGGTGTTTTCCATTTCTACTGTTCGTATTTATAGATCCGTGAATGATAGAATAGTAATTTTGAGAAGAAGGTGTATAGAAATTTATCCTCGAACGTGAAAAATCTTCTAACTTTGACTATAAGTATCCAAGCATGCCTAAACATTTCATGCCAAGTTGTACAACTTTATATTTTCTTAGTTTCTGTCTCATTCTTGTTCGACACTATTGTTGTCTTGGTTGTTGTTAAGGACAAATCGCACATTCTTTCATGACATAATATACATTCTGGTGCGAGAGTCAAACATCAATGTAAACGTTTTCAAATTCCGACTGCTTTGTTATAGTCTCTAAATGGACACATATTTCTGAATCTTGGAAGTCATAAATCTTGAAACATGCATTATTGATACATTTTTTATTAAAATAAAATAAAAAATATTAATTTTTTTATCTTGACTTTGTTGGTTCAATTTGTTTGCATTGTTGTTCTTAGAGCTTTATATTGTTGAAGTGTTTCTTAAGTATACATACTTTTCACCAATTTGCGTATTCGCAAGTTGGTGAAACTTTAACACAGCCGTTCATTGACAAATAGCTAGGACATTAAAGTTTACAGGGACAAAAAGTTGACAGATTTCAGTTATGCCTTGCAGAAGTGTTTGAGGTTCGACTAAGGTTGAAATTCCTTTCGTAATGAACAATGAGGAAAGCCAGCAGGTAAGGAAGGTAAAAAAGGTTTATAGCATAAGTAATTATTTTGGTATAATAGTTTTCCGTGTGTGGACGTCGAATACACTTTGAACCTTAAGTTTGAACAATATAGGCTAGTCGGAAAGCAGATGGGTGGTCTGCATGTATATTGAATAGAACAATTTTGTATGAACCATTTTCCGTTATAGAAATGTTGGTTAGTAAAAATCCAGAAATAAAGTTTTGTATTATAGCTCAATCGTTTATAGTAAAGCTCAGTGGACACCCAACATAAGAAACCCTGGTCTAGTTGCAGGCACATGTTCACCGTCTTTAATGTATATAAATAGTCAAAAAGCCTGTTGGTGGTATATCTGAGTAAGTATCTTCAAGGAGTATTTTTACCAGTTACACAAACAATAAAGTTCTTACTGTGTGTCAAACAGAGCAAAAAGGCTTTAGTCGTCATGTGTTTTAAGGTTCAGTTTACAATATGTCCTTGAGGATTTGTAAGTTTTTGTTTGTTATAAGAATTAAATATGACTCAGGGTTTTTAGTCGTAATAGTATAACATTATGTCTTCTGCAATTTACTTACAATAAATTTTAATGAATAGTTTGGTGCTCAAAATATTTTTATGATTGCTGGAGAACTATATTAGTTAAGTTCAACGTCTTCAACTCTCGTTCATAAGTATATCTTGTGTCAATGACATTATATGAAAGCACCAAGCAACAAGCTCGGGTTTATTTCTTTGATGTTTATATCGTCTGCCTCTGTCAAAGTCTTCAATAGTTTTGTTCAAATACTGTCAATGAGGTGCAATGAACATATGAGTTTTCACTTTACAGGGTTGTGTTCGACCAAGTTATTAATCATTATAGCTTAAAGCTTGACAAATCTTCTCCTGAGTTTGAAGTTTGTCTTTCAGTTGTTGGTAGTCGTTTCGAATATCTGCAACAGAACTTAAGTCTCTGTTAACTTCAGGATATGTTGGTTCTTTTACAGGAACAATTGTTATACCATCTTCGTCTTCGTATGGTTTCCCCACTTCAACATCTCTGTCTTTGACATTGACAATAACACTTTGACTGTTTGTTTGGGTTGGTGAATTTAACTTAACATCTGCCACCGCCATTAAACCTTTTGAAACACTTACGCTTCTATTTTTCGGAAATGACATTTTACTTAGAATAAAAAGATGGACGTATTCGGATATCTTATTGAATTGAAGCAGAACAAAGTTTATACTCACAAACAATACAAATACATTGACAGAATAGTTCTTTACACAAACAATGGAAAATGTTATAGAATAGCAGTCTTTGCTGAACCTAAATATTTTCATAAAGCAAAGAAAGTTGGTATAACTGAAATGGTGAAAGTTCTTGAAGCAGACAAAAATATAACTTCAAAACTTACAGATATTACTAAAGGAAAGTTTATAATACAATATTATGTCAAAACTGGCGTACTGTCAATATTTGACGGAGAGAAGTCAGTTCAAGAACAACTTACTGACCTGCTGCCAAAATCTGCTCGATGGAAGCTGTCGTTATGCCAATCTGAGGAGCCCCAGCAGGTTTCATCGAACGAATCTTCAAAAGAGCATCTTCCGTGAAAAGTGCTATTGGTTTTGTAAACTTCTTTGCTCTCAATTCATCTGGACCGTCTCTGTCACCAGTATATTGTATTTGAACTGTACCAACAGTTGAAATACTACCCATAAAGTCTTCTGAGTCAGCAAATGGAATGCCAAGCCAAAAGTTTGAACGGTCTCCATTTGTATATTGAGTTTTTTGACCTCCTGTATGAGTCCATACTTTCACATATGGCATAATAGAACTTTGCATTTCAGGGTTAATAGTTGTTGTGAAGTTGTTGTTAAAGTTCATAGCATCTAATGTCAAGTTGTATGACCTCATATCCTCAACTGTAGAATATTCTTCTCTTGGATAATATTTGCCATCTATGTTTATATGATATTTAATACCAGGGTTGTAGAAACAAGAATAGTCATTTATAGTTCGTCTGAACAGTACAAACATAGTATCTGCATGTTTCATTGCAGTTGTTAAAGCAATATCTGTTCTTGCACCTGCGGCTCCTGGATTTTGGTTTCCAACTTCACCTGCAAAGTCTTTGACAGATATTTGGTGTATAGGGAACATAAGTGGAACTGCAATATATTTGGCAGCTAAAGCATTTGAAATATCTGGGTCCAACATATAGACTGCAAGTCTGCTTTCTATTCTCTTGCATTCAAATTTTTCGCATGTGAACTTAACTGGGTCCCAAGCAGTTCCAGCAGCATTGAAATAATAGTTTACTTCATTGTTGAAGTTTGAGAAACCAAAGTCTAAGTCAACTTTGTCTTTGCAAAATTCGACGAATGACGTTTGATTTGTTCCCTTTACGTCTGTAATAGTGAATGGGTCTTGTGTTGGTGCAATGACTAAGTTATTTTTGCTTGGAGTAAGTTCGATAGAAATTTTTCCTGCCCAGTTTGGCAAGTATCTTAAAAACCTGAAGATGAGGAAAGATGACAAAGGAACTCTAAGTTTCAGTTTTACTTTAGTGGCAGCAGTTCCATCTGAACCAGAAAGGTTAACATAAACTCCTGGAACGTTAGGGTCAAGTCTTCTTATTTTCTCAATAGTTGCATACTGGTCTGTTTGTTCTCTAGCTTGTGGTTGTACTGAGTTTCTCAAAGCGAACCATTCATAGTTTGCCCATGTTACTGTTTGAACTAAGTCAGAGTTAGAATATATCTTATATCCCATGAAAACTTCTGGAGCATATTGGTATCCGACATAGAAAATTCCATTGCAACCTTTCTTGTCAGACAACTTGGAAGAAGGTTTTATTTCAATGTCTTGTTCCACGTATAAGAATGAGTTGTCAATAGAAATAATATGAAACCTGTCGCAAGCAATATCTACTGTTGTTGAAGAACCTTCTCCAAACTCACCTACGTTTCCATAAGAAACAGCAGTTGTATATTCGTAAGTTCCAGGAACTATTTCTGACCTTCTAATGGCATTATCGCATTCGTTATACCATTCGGAAACATTTCCGTTCATGGCATCCAAAACTGTTGGCGTTATATTCTGAGCGGCGTACATTTCATATGGGTAAAAATATAGAATAGTTGGATTTATATGTCATAATAGAACCCACTCGGACCAAGCTTTACTTTCTTCCTGACTGAGTTTTTAACTGAATCTTTAACTCTTCTTTTTCCTTCATTGCCACTACTTTCACTAGATGAAGTTACTTCTTCACTACTTTCACTTTGTTCTACTCTTCTTCTTTGGTGTCGCTTTTGGTAACTTGCCCTCTGCTTCAAGTTGTAGCATCTTTGCCTCATGTTCACCTAGTATGTTGTAAATTTCCCATGTCCTTTTTGCCTTTGGGCTCTGGTCGCCCATCTCAGGTAACCTATATCCTAGAAAGATTTTGTCATAGTTTGTATTTGAGTCTTCGCTTATTGTTTGCATGACTCTTTCCTGAGTTTCCGGTTCAAGCTCTTCAAACAGAGCTTGTCCATATGGAATAAGCTCGTTTCCAAATATATGTTTTTGTAGCCATTCTGGTTTTCTTTCCATGTAACCAATAATATCTTTTGTGAATGGGAAAGCTTTTACCCAACGTTTCAGTCTTGCGTCATTTATTTCTGTAGTTGGTTTTATTTTGTCATGGAACATGTTTTTCAATACTAACATTTCATTTGGTACTGTCCATTTGAGTTTTCTTAAATATTCATCCCTTCTCATTTCATTGTCTGCAAAGTAAGTTTTTATGACATTTTGCAAACTTTCGTTTGCAAGGTCATGTACAATAGGTTCTCTTCCTTCTCTCTCCCTAACTTTCTTTCTAAACTCTTCACCAAATATACCATCTCTATGGTTCTGTGTAGTTCTTTGAGATAAATGTTCTAGAACGTCAGGTGTTATATTTCCCTCAGCCATGTTCATTTCATACTGGTCCAAAATATCTGCATCTTTCATATCTTTCAATGGCATTAAAGCCGCGCTGAAAATACCCGTTATATCTGGTTCACCATTCACTTCCATTGCGTCTACAACTTCTTGGAATTGAGGTTGTAAGTTTATGAACCACCTATCCGGATTAGCTTTATGACCCCATTTCATTGTAGTTCCATAGTCTGCAGAAACAAAAGTAGGTTTGTTTCCATATTGGTTAGGTTCTGAATGAACTTTAAACAATGTTTCATTTCTATATGTTTTGTTGAAATTTAACCTTTTATTTTCACCGAGTTCAGCCAAAGATTGAACGTTATATGGTCGTAAGTAAAAAGGATTATTGTATTTGCGTACATTTTCTTTCAGTACTTCCATTCTATGCTGAATATTTTCATCTGATGTTGGAGTCTTTTGTATGTCGGTGAACATTTTTCGATATTCTTCTACTATGTCAGCCGAATTTTTCTTAGACTCTTGGAAAGATTCCATATTCACCTCATACTCTTGTTGAGGGTCAAGATTTTTCGGCTGTTCCAAATCTTCATCTAGTTCTGTGAAGTTAGTTTCCAAAGGAGGGACTTGTTCGTTTCCTTCAGGCTCTTCTAGCTGTTGTTGCTGAACTATTTCTTCCATGTCTGGTTGTATCTGAACTTCTTCCTGTGGAGTTTCTTGTACCTCATCTGCTGGCATTTCATATATTCCGAGACCGTTTTTAACAAGTTCCCTATCTAAGTCATCCGGACTCATAAACCTTTCTTCTTTCGTTCCGTCTCTATTTTTTACGCGTTTCATGAAGAGAGTTGAATTATCATTTAGCTCTGACATCAAATATCTCGGAGTAAATTCATTCATGTCATTTGGATGATATGCTATTAAATCATATCCCTTAGCGAGCTTGTATTTTCCAGGTTTGAGATTATATCCGATTTGATGCTCAACCATAAAGCTAAATAGGTTCGGGTCAGTATTTCCTTCCTTGAACTTTCTAATAGCTTCTTTATATCTGTCACTAAAGTCAAGAGTATCTGGGTAACCATAATCTTCCTTAAGCATTTTTAAGAATTCTTGGTTTCCTTTTTCTCTACTTCTTTTATGTCCTTGCTCTGTTTGTGGTTGTTGTTGTGCAGGGTTTTGAACTGTTGGTTGCTGTGCTGGTTGTGGAGGTGGTTGTTGTGCTGGTTTTGGTTGTGGTGCAGGTGCTGGATTTTGAACTGTTGGTTGTTGTGCAGGGTTTTGAACTGTTGGTTTTGGTTGTTGTTGTGGTGCTGGATTTTGAACTGTTGGTTGTTGTGTTGGTTTTGGTGCATGCCTGTGTCTGTGTCCATGTGACGATGTAAATGTTTTAGGTAGTCCTGGTGCAGGTGCTTCTCTTGGAGGGTTTGGTGGTATATAAGTTCCACCAGCTGGCACATATGTTCCATCTGCAGCATAATGTCCTACCTGACTTTTCGTTTTTAAGAAAGCATTTACTAGGTCTGTTTTGGTCTGTTGTAACTCTTTTTCTTGACTTTCCACAACAGTTGCTCTAACGGCGTCATAGGCACTTTGAACTGCCTGTCTCGTTGCTGCATCTGTTATTTTCGTCATATTTTGTGCTACTTCTCTTAACTCTTTGTCGAAACCTTCAGACTTCAGTTTCTTTCCAGATGAGAAGTCGTTCACTAGTTTCACCTTACTATGAAGAGCTTCGAAGGCGTTCTTAAAGTCAGCATTCATTAAAGCTTCATTTGAACTGTCTTCATCCGCTTGTATTTTTGTCCTTATTGACCCTATAAGTTGGGCTGCTTTAGCGTTGGCTTGGGCATCTAACCAGTCATTATTAGCTTTTATATATTCTGCGCTTTTCATTGCCTTTTGCATGGCTGCGTCGTTATTTTTACTTTCTTGTGCTAAGTTTTCATACTGTACGGTTTGGTTTTGCAACTGTAAAAGTTTTTCTGCCTTTACATTTGCTTCAACTTCTTTTTTATACTCATCGCTATCCATATATGTCTTCATGGCTTTTTGTTTTATCTCTTCATCTTTCAGTACTTTATATTGAGTAGTATGGTTTTTCAAATTTATAACATCTTGTTCCATTTTTGCTACTTCTGCTGCTTTTTCTGACACTTTTTTCGCATATTCCTCTGTACTTAGTTCTTTCAGTTGTTCTTCTTTCTTCTTTTTCTCTACGTTTAACTCATTTAGTTTCTTTGTCTGTCTGTCATATTCTAGTTTCTTTTCGTTTTCACTTATTTGTTTCTGTATGTCTATGTTTGACTTTTTGACATCTGTTATTTGATTTTTGAGTGAACTCAAATTCATTTGACTTTGAGGGTTATAAGCTGTTCCGTCTGCAGCTCCACCATAGCCTGCCATTTTCGCTAAAAGTGCCGCTCTTAAACCTCCACTCTGTGCACCAATAACTCGGTTTAAAAGCATAGGGTTGCTTGACATTTGTTGCAACATAGTGGGGTCATTCATCATTTGTTGTTGCAACTGTTGTTGTGGTGTCAGTTTTACTATTGGATGTTTCAATGCTCCCTTCCTCTTACGTATATTCTTACGTAGCTTACGTGGCATTTTAAGTGAAGTTAAAAAGCGGTTTTTGACAGATGTTTATATGACACTTTTTGTTCAGCACAAAAAACTACTCGGTCAAAGTGTTGTCAGTTTTGTAAAATAACCGTCCTATCTCATTCTATAATGGAGAAAAGGCTTCTCAAAGTATACTTCCTTGGAATGCCTGTAACTTTTCCTGTAGCGACGATAGACCCTTACTTGTCCGGACAAAGTTATACTATTTTGAGTGCTCTACAAAAAAGTCAACGGCGACGACTCTCAAAAACCGTTGTGTAAAAAGTTTTACCGTTGGACAAAAAAGTATATATAGAAAACAAAAAACGTTTATAGTTCATTCAATATTTGAGATAAACCGTTTTTCTAACGGTAACTATTAAATAAAATAAAAAAATAGAGGGGGTTACCGTTGACGAAAACGGTTTATCTCAAATATTTAAATATCTGTCTTTTTTGGTCAGTTCATTTTTATCTAATGGAAGCCAACGCTGTTAACCACAATTCAAACATTAACAATTCTCAACCGCTAACCAAAGCCAAAGCTCCACAACCTCCAAGAACTGGCACAGCGGTTAGAATAACCACCAAAAAGTCTAACAGCGAATTAAGAGAAATTCTTCAACAAATTTGCTCTAAATATCTCAAAGACGCCGAAGAAAACACACAACCAGACGCTACATACAATACTCAGTTCTGTGAAGTTCTGAACAAAGCAATTACTAGTTCAATTGAACTTACTAAGACAATTCCAAGTCCAATTGAGCTTAGCGATGTCTTAGTTCAGTATTTTCCAACATTTACTAAGCTTATAATGTTGAGAACTTTATACCAAGTTCGTCAAAATCTTCCTCGTTACATCCAACGGTCATTCGACAAGAGAATTGCCGAATTCCAAGTCTTTAGTTACGGATATGACGAAGATGAATACGTTGACGAGTTCGGAGACAACCGTACAAAATGGTTTGAATATTATACGACAACACAATTTGAATTCGACTTTCTCGAATTCAACGCAGCAACCATTCATATCATTGCTCTTTACCTTTCCGAACAACAACAAGACCTCGCAGATGGAGATGTTGTTACTGTCGTCATGAAAACTCCTGAACAATTCGGAAAAAAGAAGTCTCTAATTGCCAAATTCGTTCCAGGACATCAGCTTTTCCAACGCACAGAAGTCTTCTGTATTCCTGGAACTAAGTTCTTTGTCAGGAGCGAACTCAAAGAAAGATATAATGTGTCATTCAATTACACATTATATAATGTTTTCGACCCAGAAGAAGGCTTCTTCCCAGAAGCAATGGAGGAGGAAGAAGAGGAGGAAATACAAGACTCTATCCAAGAAGAGTCCTCCGAATTCACACCAGAAGACTAACAATTTTCCGAATAAAAACTTCATTTATACTAAACATCTTCGGGGCTAGAGGGCGCAACGCGCCTGGAAGCCCCACTTACCTGACCTAAATATTGAAGATATACATATTGTTATATTGTTTTGTAAAAGAATTTATAGAACTTTTTAAAAAACTGTTTTTGCAAAAATCTCGGGAACATAATCCCCTCAATTTTATTTGAGAAATTCGTAAACTATTCAAAATTGAGAGCCATGTTCCCGAGATTATTGCATTACTATATTTTTGTATGTAGATTATGTTTTATAATTTAATCAGAATTAAGTAGCAATTGTACAATTGGCCAAACAAGATATATCGTCGTTCTTAAAACTTCATCAAATTGTTAAAAAAGTTAGAAGTAATGGATTAATGCTTGCTATACTCAATTTATGTTTTAATTTTTTTTATCAAATGTAACATTGACAGCTACACAGAACTTCAACAATCATTTTCTTATTTATTGTAATATCGATAACTTAATAGAGACTGGTATGAAATTGCATAGTAAGTATATTCAAAATATGCTTTACACATTTTGATTTTTTTATTTCATTGCGCCATATGAATAATGCGTCTATTTTAAAGATATTACAAATTGTCAACTATTGGATTACGAGTCGATTTTGAATTTATTCAAAAAATTGAATATAAATCGACTTTAAATAGATTATTTTCAAAATTAATTTTAATATTCTTATTATTTATATACGTTCCAATTTCCAGTTTCTAATACTTTCAAACATTTTTCTATATGGAATAATGCATCGTTCACATTAATTGGTGAACCATATTCTAAATGATGAGCAGAGATTGAATCATATTGTAACTCAAATAATTTACAACTTAAACAGAAACCTGCCAGAGAATTTTCAGGGAAATTCGCTGTAACGCATATAACAACAGTATTGTCGGCCATAAAAATGCATTTACAAATGTTTGAACCTACAGGAGAGAAAAGAAACTTAATCTTTTTGAAATCCCTGGCGCATTCAATAAGATTTGTATGATTATCTGGAATAAATTTCCAATCAATTGTTGGGAACTTTGCTTTTGCTGAATTTATTACTTCATCAAGATTATGAATATGCCTTCTCTTGCCTTTAGGCCTGTTTGTAAAGCAGTATTCAGATGGTGTAATTTTATCTAATTCGAATTTTTCATGCAAGAACCGTTTAAATCTGTAAGTGTTTGGCCCCCATTGACTGATGTAAAAGGTTCTATTTGCAAAACAATGGAGTATATCAGCCGAAATATATTCACCTTTATTTTTTGGTAAATATATTCTTCGATCTGGTAAAAAGCCTAGAAGATCCAGGAGTGTATTATAGAGAAATGGCATTGAGAATACAATAATATGTGATCTCCTTCTAATTTCTTCAGGAATTAAAAATAGTGGAGTGAAAAAATCTTCAAATGAATGGCCAAAATTATATGTTGCCCATAAATATCCTGTAACAATAACCTCGCGGTAATGGCCTACAACACTTGCATTTGTAGCGTTCCTTTCAAAATCTGTTGGTTGGAAAATGGTGTTTTCATCAAGACCTACAGCACCATTAAAGCTAACATATGCTCTTTCAAGTCTATAGTGTGTAGTCTGAAGTGTCTTGTAATAAAAGTTGTAGTCGTGTGTTTCTTTCGGTTTTCTATATGAGAAATGGTATTGCGTAGGATCTTCTATTGTTTCATTTATATATCGTAATACTGGCCAATTTTTTTCTAGAGGCACATCAATTTTGCGCTTAACTTTAAAGAATGATGCCGGTGTCCAATCCGGAGTTTCATATCCGAATAAAGCAAATTCTGGATTATAAGAATAAATTTCTAGGGCTACAAGAAATGAACAACTTACTAGTAATGAGAAAAGATCGCAAATAAACATACTCTGACACTCTAATATTAATTTCTGAATCGGTTTTACATCATTGAGCAATAATTATTAAATCTTGAAAATTAAGGCTGTATATGTAAGATTCCTAAAGGGATCAAAACTCTGACATAGAAAAAATTATATTTTTGAGATACAAATGGGTCGGTTTGATCATTGAATTAAATTCAATTTTTATATCACCTCAATCAATTATTTGTCTGCTGATAGAGTTGTTAGATTCCCGACGATAGGTGTCTTGGAAGATTTGCCTGGTGTCATCATAGTGTCTTTAAATCAAAAATTTTATTTTGGAGTTAGTTTTATTGATTTTTCAATAAAAAACATTTCTAAAACAAGAAAATAAAACGATAAAATATTTATATTTTATATAAGGATCTTATATATTTAAAATAAATATCATTTTATTTTTTTCATTGGTGTCTGTCAAACTTACCTGCCATGGACTCTTTCATAAGTTCCATGAAATCGTCTTCGGACAATCTGGGGAAAAGTATTATGTCAGTAAGTATTCTTTTAACATCCTTACTTAAACTCTTTGCTGTCTGTACACAAATGACAACTGAGATGTTAAAGTGTCTGAGCTTCTTAAGAATTCGACACATATCTTGTTCTCTGTTCTTTAACAAAGGATGAGAGGCGAAATCATCTAAGATAAGAAGACATCTATGAGGGTAAGTCTTCCAATCGTAAGATTGCAATTTCTTCGAAATGTATTCTATCTCTTTCTGTTTGTTTCTGAAGTGGTGTTTGTCTAATATTCTCTGCATTTCCTCATTAGGTTCTTTAAACTTCGAATTTATATACTCATTTATAGCATTATACTTCAAAACTCTTCTTTGGTACTTCTTTATCCAATCTAACAACTCAGTATCCTTTATACATACTAACTTAGACTTCTTTATAATATCTTTGAACGAATTGACGGTTTGGTCAAATTGACCAGAAGTACTACAAATAACAACTAACTCATAAAATGGGTTCTTCTCATCTAGTTCTTGTTGTTGTGCAGCCATTTTAAGATAAGTGAAAGTCTTACCCGACCCAGGTGGTGCAATTAGACCTGTTATACCATTCTGAGCAAATAAGAACTTTTCATGTATAGGCTTTATCTGAGCATTTTCTAACTTCCTCTTGTTCTTGTTTAAAACATTCTCAAATTTCTTGTCAATGTCAGCAAACTTTTTTCTAACATATTTTTAGAAAAATTAAAATTTTTATCTTTTAGAAAATGTCTAGCGATTTCGCTATCTATATTCGAGACAAGCTTTTCGACAGCAAAACATCTGTAGACCATAAAACCTTACATAATGTAAACAAGAAAGGTGAATTTGTTCTAAAGTTCTGTTTCTGGGAATATGACAAGAACCATAAAACATTACAAAGAGCAGTCTTAAAATTTGTCAATGACAGACTTGTTGACAGAGATGACGCCGATTGGAAAGATGAAGTCCAACAAAAGTTCTTAGAATGCAAAGAAGACACATGCGCTGTTCTTGAAGATGAAATAGAAAACAGAATAGAAGAGCTATTAAAGGACAAAGAACTTTTACATAGATATGGTTCTGAGAAATTTGACATATCTCCACCAGAGAAGAAGAAGAAAGAAAAGAAAGAAAAGAAAGTAGAAGAAGAGAAGAAAGAACCAGAGCCAATTCCACCGAAGAAGAAATTTGACATGTAAAAATAAAATTTTATTTTTAGAACATTTCTGGGTCAAT